TCGTTCACTGTATTGTGCCGTGGTCGTCATGGTTATGGACTACAGTTAAAGGTGTTGGAAGCTATCTGTCAGCGTCTGTACAAGCCTAATTTGTGTGTACAGAAAGATAGTATAATTGGGTTGAAATTGTTCAAGTAACGTGTCGTGTTTAGTGCGGCCAAGCTTGGCCGTTAATGTTCTAGGTGTAATGTACTGCTGTTATGTGTTATCACGTTGTCTTTCCTTCCTTTCTCCTTTGTTCATTTCTCGCTTTGATTGTTAAAATTCACACTTGTAAATTTCACTGTTGTTGCTCTTAGTGTTATTTCTCTAACTTAGATTTTCTATAATAGTTCAATTTTTGTTTCAGTGTCCTTTAGTACGACGACGATTCCTAATGAGTGTTGTACGAAAACTTGTTTGAATCCCTTTCTTTCTCTACACAATTTCTTCACATTTTTCATAGTTTTATTGCACATTGTCTCCACAGTTTTACGATTATTATTATTATTATTATTATTAAATTTTTGATAGGGCAATCCCCACAGGCCTAAGGCCTTTTGACAGGGTACCCTAAAAAATGAAGAACAGAATTACGGAAGGTATGCAAGGAAGAACTTGAGCGGACCTCCACTGGGAGGGCATTCCAGCGGTCAGAGCCAAGGAAAGTGACAGAAAATAAACCATAGCGACGTTTGGCTGTCGGAAGAGCAAGGGAAGAGGACACTTGAGAGCGGGTGCGAGAACTAGATCTGCGTATAGATCACATGTATATTCATTTTGGTCTCTAGCTACATGTAGCAAGATTGTATCTTGTCCAAGCACTGTCATAAGTTATGATTTTCATCCTTTGAGCAACTCTCTTCAACTTTCACTTCACTTGCCAGCTTCGACGCTTCACTAGCAGTCTCCAAATTACGGATTCCTAATTGTTTCTGTTCCTGTCCCTGCCCCTAACCATGTCCCTTTACCAGTGAATGTCCATGTCCCTGAGCGTGTATCCGTCCGTATCCCTGACTCTGTATCTGTCCATGTCACTGACCGTGTATCTGTGTAGTTCCCTTTCACCTTTAAAAATTGTGTTGTTGATATAGGTCTACCTTACTGGTTTCTCCTCACTCCTGCTCCTAGCCGAACATTTGTTTGACATGATACTAGAATATGCATCAAAGAGACTACATGTACTGGTACTTGATTTGCTGATGATGTAGTATATTCTGTACTATGAGATGAATTACTCTAACATCACTTTAAAAGCTTGTATGCTCCTTTAGCCCCTTCCTCAGCTCACACAAGCAAGTCCATAGAAAGGTTGCACACAACGGAAATTCGTAGCGACGTATACGAGTATTTTTAACGAAAAATCTAACGAATACCGTATTATCTCTAATATAAGCACAGTCTCCAATAATAGCACGTCTCCAATATTAGAACACCTTGGGGCGGCATTCAAAAAATAAAATGCTCAGTCTCCATTATAAGCACACTGTGTAAATTCATATAATATCTGTACCGGCGAAAAAAAACCCTGAAATGCGTGTGTCTGACATGAATTTGGCATGGCAACATGCCTCTGAAATGAGGTTGAAATAATAATGGAACAGTCTCCAATAAAGGAACGTCTCCAGTAATAGCACGGCGCGGAGGTACATTGAAAAAATAAAGGACCGTGCTTATAATAGAGATAATACGGTATTCGTAAACCATGAGGTTGCGCACACTTGAACGCGTGAACTAAACGTAGTGCCCGTAGTTAGGCCTTGACAGATTATGCTAATATTTTCGTGAAATTATGCTTTTCGCATTGCTGAAAAAATTGCAGGATTATGCTATTTTTATGCTAAACCTTATCAAATTATGCTCACATATGCTGCTTATGTACAGGTACAGTGTACCTGTATATGATGGTTCTGTGCATGCAAAATGACAGGGGAATTTTTTGTAGAGGGCGTTGTACTGTAGTAGCAAAAGTTCGTCGGGGTCAACGCACCGTCCGACCAAGCTACGACCGTCACTGATTGTAGTGGATGGGACATGTTATCAAAGGAGTCGTAAACCTACGACTTCCTGGTGCATCTAGTATGATCTACTTGTACTTGTACTTGTAGAACATGTACAACTGTATCGAATTTGATGCGAACAGGCGGATTATTCCAATTTATGCAATTTGCCTCGAATTATGCGATTATTCGATTTTGGTAGGAATTATGCGAAAAATTATGCTAGCATAATCTGTCAAGGCCTACCCGTAGTAGTGGGTCGACGCGGCGGCCGCGCGGGTGCGAAGAGTCAAGACAGGGAGTTGTAAAATATCAGTATTTTAGTACTCCAGGTAACGAAAAGTATTTTCGTAGATCTGCTCTGTTTCGGTCTTGACGGATCTTCGGAGCAACTTTCGTTACTCGAACCCGGCCGGTGGAAATTTCATTATGCGCAACCTCTCTAGTAACTCGCGAGGAATCTTTGGATTGATTAGCGCTGGATTCGAAACACCTGGTAAAGTTTGTTTGATTCCTTGATAGATGTTATGGCCTGGAGAGCACGATGAAAGACAAGTACATGTAGTGGTCTTCAAGCGCAGTCTTTCTCAGCCTACTCCAGCTCAACTGATGAGAGATAAATTCCACGAAACACTGTGCATTGAACAGGGACCGGTGCTTTCTTGCACCTTTGCCCGGTCGAAGGCTCGACGGGTATGGCGTGTGCCCTGGATGGCAGTCGTCATGCCGTCAACTGGCGTCGAGTGTCAAGCCAAGTCAGTGACCAGGTGACAGTTCACTGACACTGACAGACTCAGTGGATAGCACGATCTTCAGGCTAGGGTCCGTAGGGATCTGACTAGGGCTAGGGAGCAACCAACAGTTTCCATGGTTTCGTGCCCTGTATTGTGGATTTGTTTTGTTTGATGACGTCAACAGATGTACAGGCATACATGTATCTGCCTACTCGCCACTCGCCAGTCAGTTTGTGGTCGACCGCCCAGCTAGCCAGGCAGGCTAGGCTAGCTGTCCATGATCCATGACAGCTTCATTTTTATGCGGTACTGCACTGGGTAGATCTACTGGAGGATTGCTTTCCGAAATGCTTACGAACGGGGCGTTTTCGGCACGCGGCTGCGCCGTTTGCGGTACCGGTGGCCGATTGCGATCAAAACGTTCACCCACTGTTGAGGCGAGAGACAGCTAGCTCTTCATGTCTGCACCTGTAGAGGGGACGGTTTCAAATAGGACATAGGTTGCAAACCGGAACGGACTCAATATTCACTTTCTCTCTAGGTATTTTGATTAGAAAACATATGTCACAGTGAGACTACGATGTGTTATACTCCGAGCCAAAATTTCATGGCTCTGCGATGACCAGAAGCGCCATATCAAGCAGGTGAGTTTTTGACGTGTTGCTTCGCACTGCGACTTGAGTTTTACGACTTTCGAAAAATCAACTTCTTGTCGCAGGTAAACAGCGGCTCGCCTCTCGCCAATAAAGCACCGCATACCAATCAAAACTAATGGAAGCACACACAAGGCTTATTGTTACTCTGTACTGGCCGTCGTGGAGCGATAGCAATTACCTAATTTCAGACCCAGAGTGAATTTGACGTGCACTCTAAAACGTGTCCGGTTTGGAGCCACCTCTGATTTGAACTTTTTTGAAGCGAAAAATTGGGCAACTTGGAGGCAATGGGTCAACACAAAGGAGTGGCTCAGTTCGATTGACTCTGGCCCCAGAGCAAACTTCAACATGCCAGTTTCCTTCCACAAACATATTTCGAGTGAAAAATCAACGTTGATGATCCGTTTGGGTCTATACAAATTTGGCTGTCAAAGCGTCCCAGTATCGAGCCGTCCCCTCTACATGATATTGTATTTGTAGACTGCAAACAGGGAGGTGAGAACGGGAATGCATAGCCCAGTGCGGAACGGGACTAAACTTCAGTCTGTAGTCTACAGACTACACACACACACACACACACACACACACACACACACACACACACACACACACACACACACACACACACACACACACACACACACACACACACACACACACACACACACACAATGCAGTGTACGTCTAACGCCATAAAAAGGTGCTGAACACTCGCAGACACAATCAAACACACAGTTGCGAGAGCAAGACGATTGTGTGTTACACTATTATAATGCAATGGCAAGGTTCAACTTTGAGACTCAGCTCCAAGAGATACTTGGTGTCCCAGACTCAATTTGGCTGGGACGCGTCCAAGTTGACCTGAACAAACCCGAGATAGGCCGTGGCTCGGATGCCACTGTGTATACAAGTGAGTTGGAGGGTCTCCCTGTTGCTGTGAAGGTCTTACATAGTATTTTACTCCAACAGGGCAATGTCGGGCGTGCAGCTCTTCTGCAGCGATTTGGCACTGAGTGCCTAGTCATGCGGCGACTGCAGCATGAAAGAATTGTGCGACTGCTCGGGATCGGCATTGCTCCCAATCAATCTCCGTGTATAGTGGTAGAACTGATGGCCGGCTCGCTAGGTGATCGAATTGGAGTTGTTCCAAGAGAGCCATTCGCGCAAAGCCTTCAGTATCTTGTCGACACGGCGGAAGGTTTGCGCTTTCTACACGGCAAGAACATTTTGCATCGCGATTTGAAACCCCACAACATCTTGATCACGGCAGGGAGAGCCAAGATAGCTGATGTAGGTTTGGCCCGCTCTCTTCACGGTGGTCAAGGTGCAGACTTGACAACTCTGACACGGTGCCCCGGTACGCCTTATTTTATGCCGCCAGAGAGCCTGCAAGTGGGCACAACATACGACGAAAAACTGGATGTGTTTTCTCTAGGAGTGGTGATGCTATCGCTGCTTGTGGGACGACCGCCTTCCCCAACTGAAGCTACTGTTCTGCTGGAGAATGGAACGCGGAGATCAGTTCCGGAGGGTCGCCGACGCAAAGCAGATCTGGATCGACTGGGCTCGGATCACCCACTACGTGTTCTCTAATCGTGTCGTGTCTGCATGATGATCCTGGATCTAGACCAACATCGGCTGATGTTCACATGCACTTACTGCAGATCTCACTTCCCTCTATGGTAAGGATGTACTCACATAGTATAACATGACATTGTACTCACTGTGCTGTACTGTTAGCATACAGCCTAGCTGGGTATACATGCAATGTGTACATGTAAATGTGCAATACTGGCTGATGCATGCCTGAATGGTGCAGCTACCAGAGCATACATTAGACCTGGCTTTGCCTATGTACACACTCATACTCTAAGGGCACGTTCGCCAAATTGTCACTCTTTGACTTTTCCAGGAGATTCGTTTTTCTGAAGAGGTGGCCTTATTGGCCTCTTCAGAAAAACAAACTCCTCGAAACTCCACAACCTCATCCGATGGGAGGGGTGGATTAGTTCCGAAGAGTTTGATATGGCCCACGTAACGTAGTACGCGGAGATGGTCGATCTTATCGGACGTCATCATCGCCAAGACAATTCGACTGAAAAACTCTAAAATGACAGAAACCGTTCTAATGGGACACTTTAACTAATCTCTTTAAAAAATTTGTTCGAACAGTTGATGAAGACAATTCGAACGTCCCCTAAGTCTTAGCTGGCTGTGCAGCATGACATTATATTACACATGATAAGGATCCTGATCTTTCAGTGGAGGCGGCGCAGGCTGTCTGGACTGTTACACTTCAAAAAGGCAAAACACTGACGTGTGCAAGATGATTGTATTGGAAAACACAGGCCTCACAATAACATGCTGGCTGGTGACTGGCTGTTCCCATGACATCAGCCATGTGACATATACATAGCAGTAGTATGCATCTGCAGTATGCATAGTATAGCCCAGTGAAATTATGTAATCAACTGGGGGGGGGGGGGGTTGTTATAGATTTGTATAGGTCCCTTATCCAGAATGATAACATGAAAACATAAAGTAGTGGATCAGAGCCATAAGAGGTCGTCCGTGATTAAAAAATTAAAAAATCCGTCCTCATACAAAAGGGGTTGGGCGATCAGGGGTGCTGGCGGAATATAATTTTTTTATTTTTCCGAGTCCAATTTTCATAAACTTTTTTACTTCAGTGACTTTCATACAGTTGTTGCACTGGCTTTGCAGGGTACTGACTGAACTCGTAGTGTCGCAAACACCAGTATGATGAACATGTAGTTGTAGGACGTGCATGGCCACTGGTAGACCTACTAAAACAAAAACAAACAAAAACCAGAAACAAAACAAACTAGTACAGTAGCTACTAGTACAATGTACCTGACACAGGTGCAGTCAGTGACCCTGGGGTAGGGTCCAGCGGCTAATGCTCTGAAAATGTTTGTATAATGCTAATCATAATGCTCCAAAAGCTACCTGATAATGCTGATTATAATGCTCCAACAAGGGCTATAATGCTCTTGGTTTGGAACAAAAATGGAAGAAAAGCTGCACATTGTCAAACACCCAGGAAAGGTTGCATATAGTCAATCTGCCTCTGAAGCTGCTGCAATATCTCTCACGAGCTCCACCATTTCTTAGCACTATAAGACATGATCGCGTCTCCATTGGCTGCTCTTCATTGCAACTTTGATGCAGGGCTGTGGCTGAACAGTGGGTGTATCAAATCATTTCCCTTGCTTATCCATGAAGTGGGATGTGAGACCATTATTGCTGGTGATCAATTGGATGCTGGAAGCTTATCATGGGAAGTGATATTCCCGCCTGCAGACAAGCTGTCACTGCTTCCACTCTGTGAAAAATGTCTTCATCTGAAACAGCTTACGTGAGGCAAGTTCCTGAGAGACGATCTCAGATCGAGATCCCTCCCATTTGCGGAAATCCTGAACACACGTGGTGAGAAGATATTTTGCCGCTCTACACCCTCTGCTTGCGCTGTCTTTTTCTCCTGAGGTTGCGTGGAGACAAAATTTAATGGTTGGCCACAATACTCCTCTTTTCTGATAGCACTTGACTAGGCCTTGCATTACAATCGTCCACGACGAACTATACGTGCTTCACCAGGAAAGTAAAACATGCGCTGCTGAACACTCAAATCGACTTGGTGCTGCGTCCATGAGAAATTCTAGTTCTTTTCGAGCCTGCTGAGCTGGACTCGGCAAAGGCAGCTATTAATTTTGGAGTAAGCTCTATCCGCTTATAGCCGCTCCTTCATGCAGGTCCAAATTTTTATCAATGGATTAGTGTTTACTTCAGTATCGCTAGACATGCTATGGCCAGAGCCTATGGCATAACACTTGTTATTAACAGGAAACTCCTCTTCCTCTGTTTCAGTTTGATATTCACTTCGCGTAGATCTACGTAGTCTCCTCCATCATCCATGGCTCTCCATGATTTCTAACAAAATTCCTCGTAAGTCATCGTTACGGATTTTGTGCACTTCGAAGTATAAACAGCCTCAATTGCAACGTTGGGCATGCTACATCACATGTACATTTACCTGACATTGCTACATAAAGACTTTATGTTGCAATGACATACTGCATGTGGTCAGGTAAATGTAGCGCTAAAGGTGTTACGTGTGACGGTGTCTACACTCACAAAGTCATGTGCCGGTACAATATAATGGCGTTGCATGCACCTCATGCAGTCATGGCTTTAGCCGATTGTTGCCAAAAACCATGAGATTTCCCGACATTATCCACTATAAAACTCGTTATGCCACTCAACCTCACATAATGCTCGTCTTGTTCCTTCCTAAGGCCACCCTTTGTTAATTCATTGTTTAACGTCCTTTTTTTCGCGAAAAGGTACGCGGGAGGGCGGAAAAAAAACAAAAGCCCATTCCAAAAACTGGAAACCCCAATCAAACATTTTGACCAGTAAAGCATGTGATATATACAATGTATCTGGGTCTAACGGCACTTGCAGGCATAGAACAACACTCTTTGATGGTACATTGGAGCACATGCCTGATGAATCCAACAAAACAGGTACATAGCATGGAGTTAGCATGTCATGAATTCATTACATCTGGATTTTTACTAGGACACACACCGTACAATATTTAAAAGCCAACAAAAAATGAAAAAGAACACAAGACAAAGGCATGCCCGGGAGGCAAGATTATAAGTTTAAGGTCATGATCGGCACACTGTGAAACTACACAATCATGTATTTACAACTTCGCATATTATTGGTACTACTACTTTCTTGTTTTTTTTCCGGTGGGAGGCAAAAATGTACGCGGGCGCGGACGTTAAACAACGAAAAAAGAAAGGGTGGCCTAATGCTCCATAATGTTCTAATGCTCGGATAGGCTTATAATGCCGAATATAGTGCCGGCATTATCCGCTGGACCCTACCCTGGGGTCAGGATTTCTTTTTTTCTAGCTGGGCATTGGGAAAAATCAAAATATTAATGGAAAAAATTGGGTGGGTGGTTTAGAGACAATTTTGCACGAGGGCGGATTTTATAATTTTTCGACAATTACGGACGAGACTCCTAAATCCATAATAGCAGTGACCAGTTAGTACTACTCAATGTACAGAGATTACTGCTCCACTCCATCAATTTTGAATTCTTCCTTGCAAAATAATTGAATGCTCTCTTTCAGATATGTGAAATTGTCTTGTTGTACTACACATCACAGGATTTTTGTGTTTTCTGGGTAGAATTGCTTCAATTGGGTGTACACAGAGCATAATAATCCATAGTGTATGTGTGTGTGTGTGTGTATGCGTGTGCATGTGCATGTGCATGTGTGTGTTTGTGTGTGCATGTGTGTGTGTATGTGTGTGTTTGTGGATGGTGTTATTTTTGCGTGTCTGTCTAGTCGGCAGATCGCTATTTGAGTCAGTTTGCAGACATTCTGACTCAACTGCAAACGATTTCCACACAACAGCAGGCAATCATCACCCGAGTGACAGCTGTGGAAGAGAAAGTGAACCGCATGGATGCATTGAGGGAGAGAGTTGCCAACAACGACACTAACCTCAGTGCCCACTCATCAACTCTCGCTTCAATCAACTCCACAATGGATTCACGCTCGGCTGCAGTGGATACACGCTTGGCTGCAGTGGATTCACGCTCGGCTGCAGTGGACTCACGCATTGCTGCGCTAGAATCACGTATCTCCAGACAGTCGTCTGGTGCCAGTACTCACCGTCTGACGGCGACTACCTCACACAGCTGTGACTCTATTCCCCAGTCCTCTCCATCACCACGCAGTGCATCTTCTGCAACACCACCGATGATGTCATCCGGCGCTTCCTCAGCTCAAACACCGGTTAGACTTAGAGTGCCCAGACAAGGGTCAGCCTCAGATCAGACTACCCTGCCCAGAAACACGTTGTCACCTTCACCATTAACAGCATCATCAGCAGCGGCAGCAGTAGTAGCTGCATCTGCACCACGGCAGGTTGGTCTACTTTTGAAAGGCTTACTTTTACAAGTACCAGTTTATGCGACGGTGTATTAAATTTTTCCTACAGTCTGTTGCCCTGCATGACTGGGTGTATAGTGGTACGTGTATGACGTCATCATGCATTAGTTGATTATAGTTTACATACACACAACACTGGTGTCTGTTCAAGTCAGAGTTTCACTATGCAGGGCAAAACCATGAGTATATATGACTAGTTATGCTACAAATGATATTAGTTTAGTCCTTTCCTTCGTTCGTTTTGCTGCCGACTCCATTGTTGTTGCCTCATGTTGTGGTCATGGTAACGTTTGAAACTGCTTTGTCATAGACCTTCCGGAGGATTGATAGCGCTGCCAATTCTGATCAATTTTTGTAGGGTTGTATAGTCAAAAATGTGTTCCCTCACCTTAGGGTGATGTATATCCCATCATCTACTCCTTATACGAAACATGAGGCCAATGAAAATTTGAAATCGAAGTATGAAGTGTATGACCACCCAGCCAGGTTTGACATCACTACTTTCTCCCTCTATTGTCCTAGTGTTGATTGGTGTTGTTCTTACTGCTCTCCTGTATTGCAGCGTGATTACACACAGATCTGCAAATCAAGGTATTCATTTGGTAGCTGCGGCAGTGGGAGAGATCAGTTTGACGGCCCTTGGGGACTAGCAACCAACAAAGCTGGTGACCTGATCATCTGTGACGTCGATAACCACAGAATAAAGGTAATGGAACTCACAGTACATTGCTATCCGGCAACTTCGGTGTGTATATAAATGTCACTCTGATGGATGACCTGCTCGGAAGGGTCTGTGTGTGCATTAGTAGAATTGAAAAATAAGGATCCCAATTGGTCAAATTGAAGATGCTCAAGACTGTCTGAAACAGTAGTAGACAATCCCTTGGATGAATTCTTCAACATTCTAAATTTTACTTAATTGCACCATCCAGTTTACCTGTACACCCAGTGAACACAAGAGCTGAGAAGTTGATATAAGCAGAATGTCATTTCTCTTCAGAAGTGATCAGTTTTTTCTAAACTATCAAACTGGAGAAAGGTGATTATTGTAAATCACAAAAGACTTTGAATACCTGTGACATCCCACACCTAAATGTTTTCTTGGCCGAGCCATTCCAATTGCACATCACCACCGCAACGAGGACATTTCCATTGTGATATTGATATCTCAGACCCTGAAGGCAGCTGCTTTGCTCCAACAGAGCCCATCAGTGGTGGTTGGTAATAGTGGATGATCCGGGTGAAGAGATAATGTTATAATAGGGTAGAACAGTCGCAAATGTGCGCTTTCTACATCGAAGTGTGGCATGCCATAGGACACTGAGGCTATAGGTGATAACAGATAGTGCAAGTGTGCGTTACTGGGACATGCTTTCAGGTCGTCTGCAGTACTAGAATTGGTGCAAAATCAACAAACAAAGAGAGGTGCTACTAGTAGCCAATAGCCACTCATACATACGAGTGCTGAATGTCCAAGCACTGCACGCTTGTATTGTCACATCTGTTAAAACTGTCCGTTATCACCTAACCCCTTTTTGCTAGGGCATGCCACACTAGAGAGGAAGTGTGAAATTGTGAAATTCTCCCGGGCCCCTATACAACATCTGTTGTGATCTCGAACTCATCAGTCACTGAACTGATTGTATTGTAAAGAAGACGCCAAATATAACTGGAGTATTTGATACTAGAGCCAGCAGATGGACGGTTTCTGCAATGAGCCAGAATTGCTAGAGAGAGCCTGAGTGAGAGGGCTAAAACGGGTAAAGAGGAGTACAGTTTGAGGACTACATTGCCCCTCACTCGGCTGGATTCGTAATCAAGCCGCTTCTGACACCATGTTGTGATCTTGAACTCGTCAGTCACTGAACTGATTTTATTGTAAAGAAAACACAAACTTATAGAGTGTGAAGAAGAGTATAGCGAGAGAGAGAGTGGTGGAAGAAGAGCTGGGGTCACAAAGGGTTATTTGGAAAGGATTGGGAGAACTTCAAATTGCTCAGTGGTTAGAGCATTGCTCATGACAGCAGGGTCCCAGGTTCGAGTCCTGGTGGGTCTGGCGTTTTTTTCTCTTTTCAGGCAGTTCACTTCCCCGACTGATCATTATTATTATTATTATTATTATTATTATTTTTCCCGTTTGTCTCTTTCCCTCAAACTAGTGAAGATTATTATTATTATTTTTATCATTTATTATTATTTTACTAGGGCAGTCCCCACAGACCTATGGTCTTCTTACAGGGTGCCCTAGTCACGTGAAGATAGCGGAGCGAAATGCAGCAGGTAGGGATATGGTGCGAATCGCGGCAGGGAGCGAGTTCCATCGGTCAGCTCCAAAATAAGATACAGAGTGATAGCCAAAATACAATCTGGCATTGGGCTGTACCAGGCCGAGCGATTCCTGAGAACGGGTAATTCTAGCAGTGCGGGATGATGAGACAGCACGAGGAGTGAAAAGTCGTCAAAGTAGGGGACTAGCACGAGCATTTATGCATCTATGTAGAAACACATAGAGGTTGGCAGCATAGCGAATATTTAACGGTGTTAGGTGCTGTCTAGCTAAGGCAGTGCGGATCGCCCGATTCGCGATGCTAATACGAGCGTTATAGGTGGTCTGTCACGGGCAGTGCACGTACGCATTGCTCGCGTACTCCAGGGTAGATTGGACAAATGCAAGATAGAAAGTTTGCTTGGCTCTAGCACTGAGAAGGTGACGGCAACGGCGAACTGCATTGACCTTGGCATTAACTTTACTTCTAATGTTACTTACTTGCTGTTGAAACGACAGATGCTCATCTATGATGATGCCCAGGTACTTGGCTTGCTGCGATTGCTGTATACGGCTGTTGCAAAACTGTAGGGCACAGTCTGCATGTACATTGGGTTTCCGTAGCAGCAGGAATTGCGTCTTGAATGGGTTCAGCTGTAGTCCACGGGCCTCCAGAAAGCTGCTCACACGGGTCAGATCATGTTCCAAGGTCTGTGAGGCAGTGGAAGGGGACGGGTCGGCAGCGTAGATGTTGGTGTCATCTGCATACAGGAGGCAGAGGGATGACTGTAGGCAGGCTGGTAGGCGCCTGGTGTACACCGTGAACAGTGCCGGTCCCAGCACAGAGCCCCGAGGGACACCGCGATTGGCCGTGTACGGGGTTCCAGGTGGTTGACGGAGGAATTTCACTTGCTGTGGTCGGCTGGACAGATAGCTGGAGAGCCATTGCAGAACAGTGCCTCCTACTCCACAGCGCTGCAGCTCCAGAAGGAGCTCACCATGCAGGACACAGTCAAAGGCCTTGCTGAGGTCGAGGAATGCTACAACCACGTTGCCAGAGTCCAGAGACTGCTGCCAACTGTCAATGCATAGCGCCAGTGCGTCACCGCATGAATGACAGGAGCGATAGGCGAACTGTTCGTCAGGTATAACGTCACCTGCAGAGACCATGAACTGCCGGAACTGGTCGTAGACGATTCTTTCTAGGACTTTGGAAACGATGGGAGGAAGGGAGATTGGTCTATAGTTTGTGGGAGCGTGTTTATCACCTTTCTTGAAAACTGGACAGATTTGGGCAAGCTTGTATTGTTCGGGGAATACGCCAGTGGCTAGGGAGTTGTTATAGATTTCCGCCAAGGATGCAGCTAGATACTTGGAGGAGGCACGCAGAAGTGAAGCAGGAATGTCGTCAGAGCCGGTTGCTTTCCATTCGTCTAGCTTGCATAACCGTCGTTCCACGTCAGTCGGGGACACTGGCCGAAATGTAGTGAATCCAGTTGCTTTGCTGGGGCCTAGGGGTAACTGTGACCCAGTGTTCAGTGTAGGATCGCTAACTTGAGCCGCAAACACTGCACTTACGGCCGGAACGTCTACAAGTAGAGTCGTCGGTTGTTGCTTCCTAACTAAGAGGTGGTTCAGAACCTGGCACTGAGCTCGAGGGTTGAACCGACTCAAGATATCTCAACTAAATTGTCCTGGCTGTGGTGGTGATGTGCAAGTGGAATGGGGCGGCCGACAGCGCTTTGGGTGTGTATGTGTGACTGACATTTTTGGACGAGCTTTTCGCTAGATTCACACTATAGAACTGCAACCAAATGTTTACTACATGTATGTTTGGATCTGGGCTATGTATGGGTGCATGGTTGTGTTAACATTTGTAAATTGCATTCCTTTTTGTCAATACACTTAGATACATGGGGTTGATGGCCAGTTCAAGCAGACGACTGGTCGGATGGGTACAAGCTGTGGAGAGTTCAACTACCCAGCAGCTGTGCATGTAACAGATGATGAACGAGTGATCATTGCTGATTCTGGCAACAACCGACTACAGGTATGGTCTTGGTGTTCCAATCATGTTGTAAGGATTACATGTAAACAGTAGCCTCTTTTACGTGCAAAATTGATCAACAATGCAGTAAAGCCAGCTGCTCAGAAAAACTTCAAAAAGGCCCAGAGAAACAAAAGAGAAAACCCGCACACGGTGGGGGGCAGTCCGTAAATTCATGTATTTACTTAGAGACATCTAGTAGGCGTTTCTTTCTTGACCCACCCACCCCCAGCAAGCCCCCACCCCCAGCAAGGCCCCACCCCCAGCAAGGCCCCCCCAAAATGCAGATAAAAAAATTATCGTGTCCGTTCCCGAAGGGAACTCACGTCGGCCGCTAACACCCAGTAATACCACTCGAAATAAACACCATGCAGCATTGCTATGAACACATATACAGTACAGTCGACTCCACTCATAACGAACTCACATATAGCGAATTTCGTGACATAGCGAACCCTTGTCCATGTCCCTGTTTGAACCCATACAAAATTGACGCTTTATAGCGAACAGTTTTCGTTTATAACGAACCAAATCTTGTAGGGCCGCATGTACATGTACATGTAAAGCAAGTGCACCTGAGTCATACTGTCATGGGCTACATCATAGTACATGTGCACCTGAACCTGAAACCAGGCTCAAGAATCCTGTTTCACACCTACAAGTCTGCTGGTAGCTAGCTGTCACTGCATGCAAGCGCATGTTTCTGGGAGTACAGCGTATGGCTGTGTATGTGTCCCTGTCTACCATGGTCTACTCTGCCGTGACGGGTGTAGTGCAGTGTAGTGCATCTCAACACCTACCTGTACTAGCTGTAGCAGTGCTACATCATGTGCATATACACACGCGGTATGGTATGCATGCACTCCGAAATGTATTTTTTAGAAACGCCTTGCAGGCGAACCCACCACAAACGCCTGTTAGACGTCTCTAAGTAAATACATGTGTTTACAGACGACCCCTGAGTAATCAACAACATACAATTACACATACATGGAAAATTTACACAAACTATGTTGTCATTGGATACCCACATTATAACCCATACAAAAGTAAATACCTCTTTGTAATACAATTTTATTGAAATGGTTTTCTTGCTGCAATGATGAGCACTTACTAACTAATGGCTCATGTTGCGAGCAAAACCTGTATTTGTTGGGCAGCACCACTGTTATTTCACACAAACTCTCTCCTCTTCATACATTGGTCCACACATGTTAACACCCAAACACACACTTACACTAACATACACTCACACACGCTCAACCACCCACCCACAGAATACGCACTCAAAAACCTGTGCACATACCTGCATACATCCATTCTCTCTCAAGTGTACACAGAACCACACACACTGCCAACTTATGACATTTCGTGGCCAAAGGTGATGAAAAGCTTATAGAGCAGATAACAGGTAGAAACCAGGATTGAGCTACATTGCAAGGAGATAGAATGTGTCGCGCCTCCAGACATGTGTGGCAAGCGAGATAGCGGAGTTTGAAGAAGAATCATCAACAGAACAATGAAGCAGACTATCGCCATTGTGGGGAGAAGCCCAATTCATGACCGTCGTAAAGCACCGCATTCTGCCATTAGCCGTCTCAGACCGACAGATTATGGGGATGTCCCTAGCCGAAGTTTGAGGTCATGAGCAGCTGCATCCCATCACCTGTTTTTTTTTACTTGGAGCACATCCAAACAAGTACATGTATTGGGCAGCTGTCCAAACAGGAGTTGATTGGAAATCTGGGAGGTTTGGCATTCTGGCAAGGTGACCTAGCCCCTCAGGGCAATGCTGGCCAAAACATGTTGAAATGCCTGGTTTCAAGGTCTGCTTTCAGCGGAGTCCAGCACTCAGTACTATACACTAGGATGGAGGATATACAGGAAAAGTTTAGATGTCATTTGGTGCACAGGGACAGGTTTTGTGGACAAAAACACATCACAGTTCACAAAATGTATTGTGTGCTTCAACATTGCGCCGGCACAATTCTCTTTTAACGAGTAAACCGGTGTAGCAACAGAACCAAGGTAGAGAGGAATAGGGGCAAATCCTCTGTTGCCTTCCCTTTCACAAAAACAATGTTACCGATGTCAGATGGTGTGATGTTCCTATCAGCCACAAGGAATTTTTTATCTTATCGACATTGATATTTAGAGGGCCCAGTTAGAGCCAAAAAGACACATCCGGCAACGCACAGACCCCTCCCCCCCCCCACAAAAACACACCTAAACACACATGCACACACACACACACACACACACACACACACACACACCATTGACCATTTGACGCCCATCGCCAGAGGCGATGATAGCGATGCTACAGCAGAAGCCATAGCAGCTTGTGCTGGGGGGGGGGGGGGGCACACACACACACACATACACACACATGCGCGCATGCACACACACACCAGGGTCGGATCCAGGATTTTTCCAATACACTCATTGCCGAAGTTGTGTTGCCATGGTGCAAAAATGGCGTTGGATGGCTACGCCTGAGCGCTCGCGCTGTCATCGCAGCCCACGACACGTCTTCCTGCTGTGCTTTCTTGACAAATTATTTTGTTTCGCTTTGTCCTTGTTGCTGGAGGCTTTGATTCTTTGAGATACTGTAGAGCGATTTGGAGTTGTTCAGCCGAGAGTAGTCGTGAGAAATGGAGAAAGAATGTGAGAGAACCTGGACTGCGGATCAAGTCGCTCTGTTCCAGCGGAGGCGAGCAGAGGGTTACGATCTCAGTGCCCAGGCACGTCGCTCCTGATTATTTCAAGGGGCTCGATGTGCAAGTGGCACTCGAAACCAGTGCTGCGCAGAGTGCCCATGTTCCTGCCAGTGTCGCTGCTTCAGCCGGGCTGGCGCTGGTGTCTCCAGTGCAAGCAGTATACCTAGTAGCTGAAACCACTCCTGAACCTGCTGTAAAACCCGCCGCTCAGGGCAAGTGCAAACAGCAGCTGATGCTGCTACTGAAAGGGCCACATATTCACTTCTGTCCAGCTCTGTCCTGCGCGCTCCCACCTCTTGTGGGGATCTCATGCGCTTACGCATGCAAGGGCTGCGCCAACTTTGCAAAGACAGTATTCCCTACCAAGGGCGTGTATCCAGACGTGATCTTTACCTTCTCATCTGTGAACATCTCCACTTGAGTACTGCTGGCGAAGGGGTTCCAGACGAGGAGGCAGACAAGCCTGCATTACCAAAGCCAGTAATGGCAGCGTACAAGAAGCTACCAAGCTTTTCACACATAACATCTGGCTGGTCTCTATCTCGCCTAACTAAAATCCCTTTCTTCATTACTGAGGCTGTCAAGCACTATCTGTTAAATTCCCCGGGAAAAGATTATGACAAGGAGAGCTTGCAGTGCTACAAGCAACTTCGTGAGTACCAATTATTTGATGAGCACCACCTTCACCATTTGGAGGGAAACCTGTTTGCAGGTGGAACAAACTTTTGTTTCGTCCATGCGAAATGCTGGCCATCACAAGATACATCAAAGCAAGCCTACACGTGTATCGTCTGCATCAGCAGGGACGATCCAGTGTGCTAAGGTGGATACTGCCAGTGCATTTCCGGATAAGGAGAGTGCTGTTCACATGTCGCGGCTTTGCTGTTTGCGCAGGATGATTTTTGCAGCCATGGCATGCAGAGTTTGTCTGGACCTTCCGTAACAGACATGTTGTATGCATGCACGCTTGTGCTTCTGACTTTTTCTAGATCGTGGCTTCTCTTCTGATCTTTCCTCGTCATGTCTGTTGACGTTTGTGAATTATATCATCTTGTCCAACATAAACACAGTACACTGTGAACGAAAGCAACATTTCATT